GTAATGATCACGTTTCAAAGAAACTTAGTACATAGTTACTAATCTGTTCATATTAATTCTCTAATTAGCATAATAATTAATATTTTTTTGGGTTCTAATCACATTTCAATGAAACTTGGTACATTGTGCAGACCTTATTAGTTTTACACTTAAATCTGTTCATATTAGTTACCTTATTTGCATAATTAGTTTTCAGCTATTCCATCAATATCTGAAGTATAAGTAATTTTGAATTATTTTTTAATGTGTCTCCAAAACTCTCAGCACACGGGAGTTCTTTCTAATCTTTCTTTGATTAGCTGTTTGTGATGCCTATTTAGAAACAAAATTAAGGCCTTTCACTTTTGCCGAATGTCTATTAAAATAAGAGTAATGCTTAAATTAGAATACTAACAATAGTAAGATGTAATAGAATATTTACCTCTACTCGAGGCACAACTCAATAGAAGCACATCATTAGCACTGTTTAGATATTCTGCTCTAAGTTTTCTATTTGGGTGCGTGATAGGTACAATTGTAGTTCATTATATGAAGTTCCAAGTTTACAAGTGTGTGTGTTTTTTTAATCACACCTTATAAATGTTGTTTTGTAGAGTCAAAGCAGATGAGAAATTTTCTGAAGTTTTGGTGCGACTTCTGAACTTGCTGAATGTGACATCAGAGTCCTCCACTCATTTACATGGGCAAGAATATATAGTGGTAAGATTCATTGCTTGATTGATTTATACAATTTACAGTGTACAACTTGTACAACAAGTTCACTTCTTCATACTAGTGATAATTCTTGTACTATTTCAGGGGGCTGTCCTGATCTCTGATTTGCTGCAAGTCTGTTTTGCCTTATCTATCATGTAGAGTAAAATTCAATATTCTTGGTGTGTTTAATGATGATGTCTGAAATCACAAACCTGCCATCTGATTTTGCAGGAATAATTGTTGTTTATTTTAGGGAATAGTGCAGTCTATTTGTGATCCTGAAATTACAATGATGATGGCTACAGAGAGTACATTACCAACAGTAGAACAACTAGCTAATGGTCTACCTAGTAAAGACCATTTAGAGCTCATTCTTACTGCATTATTGGAGCATATATCCGATGGTAATCAGTCATATGCAACTATTTTGCTGTGTTTACGTACGTTTGTCATGTTGACGGAACATGATTACGGATTCTATCATCTGAAATGGTAAGTTTGCCATGTTTTATAATGTACTTTCTCCCAGTCTTTTTTTATTTTTGCATTTACCTGAGCAATGGTTCAGACTACAAGTAGAGCTTGTACAGTTAAATGGAGTCAGGAATATGTTTCACTGTCAGACATATGTCCAACACTAGTATTGCAAATGTTCTTTTGAAAATATGCAAGCACACAAACCTTTCTGTGTATGGTAAGAAAGTTACTGTGAGAAGATTTACTCTATTCTGACTACATATAAATATAAAAACAAAAGATTAACTCTTATATAGCCACTACAGAGGACACTACTCAAACTTCTTTTTTTAATGAATGTCCTGTTTTACTAGAAATCCATTTCACAGGCGCAGTATATTGCTGTATTTTTCATCAGTGCATTTTAATATCAGATCCTAATTTTTACTAAGATTTTAGAAACAAATAGAAGATGATTCTTCTTGTGTAGCGTTATTTCTTTATCTGATTTCAACTTATAAATGAATGTGTTTTCTAGTCCTCTATAAACTTGCTTCTATTAACAAATCCTCTATAAACTGAAAACTACAGAACGCCCACATATCCTTTGACAGCAGTTATCTTTAAACTTATATATTTCATTTACACTCAGTGCTTTTGAGAAGAACAGTAATGCCTTCTACAGTTTATTCAAGAAACTATCCACATCATTTAATAAGGACAGTGCAGATTGTTTATCAACATTATCAACATTCTTGGACTTACTACAACTTTTAATAAGTGCTGATAGTCTGGAAGATGATCAGACTACTCCAGAACCCTCAGCCAATCTCAGGACTTATACTGTTAATGTTGTTAAACTTAGTGAACTTTTAAAATGGAATACTGAATCCAGAGATCATCCAATCAAAGTCATTGAAAAATTACTTGTGGTGAGTGAAGTGGCTTTGTAAATTTTTGTATTTTTTTTTCTGCTACAACTTGTGTTATAGTGTCACTGCAGACAACTATGGCACCTAAATTTAATCCAGTAATCATATGATTCAATCAACTCAATGCATTTGTTCTGTTTTGTATTCAACAGTTGACAAGCTCGATTAGGCACAAATAATATAGTTGTGTCTCATAAATTGAGACCTGGTTTCAAAATGTCAACAAATTGAAGTTGGAATTGAACAAAGAAATTTATCAAGGGTTTTGTGTACAGTTTCTGAAATTGCATTGTGTACATGTATCTAAGGAGGCCTGGCTGGAAAATGTGCAGTGAAGCATGGAATACTGTGCTCCTGTACATCCATCTGTGGCAACCAATTTGTGATTTCTTGTCTTTATTTTGAATGTGTGAGAAATTAGTTTCACAAGATGAGATTGTTAGAGATTTGTGCAACCTCATCATTATACACATCTTCCAGTAGCACCCAATCTTTCTATGGGCCTCAGTATAAAAATATGAAATAATTTAACTGAAACACTTAAACATCATATGTATTAATCTGTGCCACTGATAGTGTGTGATTATTATTTTTCAAGCCAATACTTGTGTGTTCAGTTCTATTGGTACCTGGAAAGATGCTCTTAAATTACCAAAGAATGAATTTCAGTCAGATTTTACATATATCATTTAGGAATGCTGTAAAGATGATGAAGCAATGGACAGTTTACTGGACGGAGTGACTACCTTAGCACAGACATTAAACTCTGTAACTGATGATACAGTTGTTAAACCTGATGAACTAACAGAACCAGTATTGCCGGCACCAGATACTTTATCTGTCCAGTTTAACACCAGAGCTTTTTATATCCTTGGAGATATGGAGGATGAAAGAATTAATTTTTGGTTGACAGTTCCGCCTCTTGATGATCCTGACATGGAGATTGATATGGTATGTTTTTGTATTGACACTATTAAAATCAGTTGTATCCTCAAAATAAGAAGAATTTCCCTCTACAACTCCTGTTTATAATACATGCAATGGCTCCAACATTTATAGTTGAAAGCACATGTACACATTTGAGTACATTGCTAAATATTGTCTATTACATGTATATTTGAAGGTGAAAGCTGATCTTTTGGAGTTGAGTGAAAAGTGTTGTCCTGATTTTGACTTAAAAGATGAAATTGCAAAGGGATTGGCAGGAGAAGATGGAACAACACCAAGAAAAAAAATAAGGTTAGTCACTTGTGAATGTGTTTAGGGACATGTGTTGACAAGATATGTAGGGACATGTGTTGACAAGATATGTAGGGACATGTGTTGACAAGATATGTAGGGACATGTGTTGACAAGATATGTAGGGACATGTGTTGACAAGATATGTAGGGACATGTGTTGACAAGATATGTAGGGACATGTGTTGACAAGATGTGTAGGGACATGTGTTGACAAGATGTGTAGGGACATGTGTTGACAAGATATGTAGGGACGTGTGTTGACAAGACATGTAGGGACGTGTGTTGACAAGATATGTAGGGACATGTGTTGACAAGACATGTAGGGACATGTGTTGACAAGATATGTAGGGACGTGTGTTGACAAGATATGTAGGGACATGGGTTGACAAGATGTGTAGGAACATGTGTTGACAAGATATGTAGGGACATGTGTTGACAAGATATGTAGGGACGTGTGTTGACAAGATATGTAGGGACATGGGTTGACAAGATATGTAGGGACGTGTGTTGACAAGATATGTAGGGACATGGGTTGACAAGATATATAGGGACGTGTGTTGACAAGATATGTAGGGACATGTGTTGACAAGATATGTAGGGACATGTGTTGACAAGATATGTAGGGACATGTGTTGACAAGATATGTAGGGACGTGTGTTGACAAGATATGTAGGGACGTGTGTTGACAAGATATGTAGGGACATGTGTTGACAAGATATGTAGGGACATGTGTTGACAAGATATGTAGGGACACGTGTTGACAAGACATGTAGGGATACGTGTTGACAAGACATGTAGGGACATGTGTTGACAAGATATGTAAGGACATGTGTTGACAAGATATGTAGGGACATGTGTTGACAAG